TGACGTCGATGTTCTGCGCAGTGTTTGCTAGTTATTTTAGCATACGACAGTGGAGGAAGAGAATGAAGCCAGTCCGTGTTGATAAGGCTTCCAAATTAAAATAAATTTGTCTGACAAAGCAGCAGCTCTCATTTACAGTCGTCACGTTCGGCTCGGTATATTTCTCCTCAGTAGGGTTGTTTACAGCACACGCCATTTCCGGTTAGCTTCTTAGCTTAGCCTCTGTCACAGCGACATACATTGCAGCCAACTGATCCAATCATTTTAAACTTCAGCAGAGGCCACGCCTCCAGCAAGAAACGCTTCTYTATGCATCAAGTCCAGACCCTTGTACGAAGCAAAGTGAAGGACAGGGTCTCTGGTTTAAACCAGGCTAACAGATCCATGTCCCTAGTGTCCCAACATATCAGCACCAAACAAACAAACAAACAAACAAACATTTTGGCTTCAATTTTGGACCAATGAAGTTAAAGGAGTTGCTTCATTCATCATTATTTATACTGATGGACAGGTGCAACCTGAGGTACCTCCTGCAGGGATATGTTTCAGCTGAAAAAACTGCCTAATGTTAAGCTGACAACATTGTAAATGTTGAATAGCTTTTGTTAGAATTGTTATCAAACTGAAAAGGTTTAAGTTGTTTAATGGCAAAATAGTTTTTTTTATAATTTCATTTACTTTATCAGTGTTGACTTGCTTTTATGAGTAGACCCACTTGCAAATTTCCAACACCAAAGTTTTTAAAACATTTTAACAAACAGTATCATTAAATTCTTTACATTGTCATTAGCTTCACATTACATGATGGCTGCTGCTGCATTTGCACACGTTCACTAATATGGTCCATGAAAATAACTGTAACTGATGGTGGTCTGAAGGGTATTGAAACACTGTTTACAAAAATGACTTTTGTTTCATTTTTCTGAGACTGAAGTTGTTATTTAGCCAGCAGCAATCCACTTTGCTGTTGATTGGATTTAGACCAGCTGTTAGCTCATCAGTCCTGTCAGAGTTAAACTATTTCTCTAAAGTCAAGCCGGTCACAGAGCTATCTACAACAGGTAAGATATTAACACTTTAAACTACCTGAACTAGCCCTTTAAAGACTCATAATGACCCATTTAATAATCAACAAGCAGGATTTTTTTCAGTTTAAAACTGATTCCAAGCATCATTAGCTCAAGTCTTTGTTGAACCACACAATGTTTCCATCTTAAAGWGAACCGTTTGTTTACGTTAGATATTCTTTGTTCCTGTAGGAGCGTCAGAAACAGCTGGAGAGCCTGGGCATCTCCCTCCAGTCATCTGGCATCAGAGTGGTGGATGATAAATGTTTCCTTGTTAACCTCAACGCCGATCCTGCCCTCAACGAGCTGCTGGTCTACTACCTCAAAGTACAAGACGCAAACACACAGAAGAGGTGCTGAGACACAAAACAGACTGTGTTAACATCTGTGTCACTGTGTTCAGGAGCACGCCTGTGTGGGCTCAGCTGACTCACAGGACATCCAGCTGTGTGGGATGGCCATCCAAGCTGAGCACTGTGTCATCGACATTACCGAGAACAACTGCGTGATGCTAACGCCTCACCGCGGCGCTCGGTAAGGAAGCTAGTAGCAAACATGCTACTTCCTTTTTGTGGCTTTTGTTCACAACCAGCATCTTCATGGATTTGTCTGTAGACTCCTCTGGAGTTTCATGTAGTTCTGTTATCACTAAGGTTTTTGTCTGTGTGTACACGTTTGTGTCATGATCCACTGAATGGACTTGAATGATCTTTGCAGAAAGTAATCATTGGATGGAGTTAGGGCTGCGCGGTAAATGCRGTAGATGGTAGAAACGGTATGAAGTTGGCCAACAGTAGAAATTTACTCTCTACTGTCATCAGTTACGTCATCACAACCGTGTCAACAGGGCTGCGAGTGCAGAGACAACTGAGCAGGAGGAGTTTGAAATATAATGAAGAAATTTTAGTGTTTTAAAACTCGTATAGAGAGAATAAATCCTCAAAATTCCCCCTGCCGCTGTAGAAAAGTTACGTCRTGTCGTGGGATCATTTCCTCCTCCTTCTCGCTGCACGTCGTGCAGAGCGAATCTTTAGTTTATTTCACACACAAGTTGTCAGAGAAAAAACTTGTTTTTTTATGTATTGTTACCCACAGAGGTGAAAAAAAAAGACGTGGACGTTCGTTCAGTCATAAATCCATCTTGATAATGTAGCCTAACGTCAGCTTCTGCTCTGATGATGAAGRTGATGAAGATGAGAGCACAGCAGAGCAGCAGCCGATAAGTTCAACAGGCAGAAGCTCATTGTATGGCAGGCAGATGTTACATTTATTTGGCTTCACCACACTTACATTCCAGTTATCTGAAATTGTTTCATAACAGGACTATGTGTGGCTTAAGGCCCTTAAGGTCCTGTCACACTATAATATTTTAGACAACATTGAATTTTTTATGTCTAAATGACTAATTTTACTTGAAGTACTGGTTATAGCATCCACTTTTTTTTGACATTGTTGAAAATTTGAAAAATGTTTTTGTTTGTTGTTGAAACGGTTTTACAACATATATAAATATTCTTCTGTACTTCTGTTATGTTCATTTGCACTACAGCAAAACTACTGGCTTTGATTATGTTTACAGTTTTCTGCAAAATAAATGCTCTAAAAATTACATTATCTTTGCTTTTTATGACAATTTTCTACCGCGATATATACCGTTACCATGAAGGGATCCAATTTATACCGTGATAAGAATTTGAGGTCATACCGCCCAGCCCTAGATGGAGTCAACTACAGTCAAGATGGCTGCCAAGGCCACATTACTTTAAAAAACACAAAAACGGCTTTAAGTTTTAACTCAGTTTTTACAGATATTGACTTAAATCTAGACAGTTATGTTGTTGTAGGTCCTTCACAACACATACTCTTAAGTTACTAAACTACTTGTTGTATAAGATCTTTGCTAAAAAACCTTTGCATTGATCGATGGAGTGAACCCTTTCTGTAAGCATAATATTGTGTGAACAATAGATTTTAATGAAACATTCAGAAAGTAACCACTGGACAAACCTCTACAGCTGATTAACATTTGGAGTCATTCAAGTTCATGATGGCCACCTCAGATAATCAACATTAGGCAACAGAAAAATGGCTATAACTCAGTCAGTTTGACAGATAATGGCTGTGTCCAAAACGGCAGGACGGGTCCTCCGAAGGCCGAATTCGTCGGCCGCATACGTCACAGCGCCGCGACGAAGGACGTCCAAAACCAAAGACTCCTCCTATGCGGCTGAAAAATACGTCCTTTTTTCCCGATTTGAAGGACAGGTCTGATGGATCCTTCCCGGCCCAGCATATCCCATAATGCATTGTGGCCCGACCAGAGATTTTTTTATGCTAGTAATGGCGGACGAAGCGAGAGAAAAGAATACGTTTTAAATAAAAATATGGTGATATGGAAATTAAAAAAATTAGCGGTTGTAATTCTAATACTTTTATCATTTGTATAGACATGTTTTTAAATATTATTTTTATCATAAAAAAACGCGAAATAAACATGAACCTACAGCGGGTCAATTAGTTCTTCAAATGTTACCTTTTAAGTTAATTTTATAGTTTTGTGATATTAATAATGCTAATGTATTGATATTTTTCTAGTTTTGATTTAAGTTTGCTTGTTTAGCGTCGTCACAGTTGCTAGGTGACATGACGTACGCCGGGGTAAGGAGGGGAGGCTAGACCGTCCAAATCCACAGACACTTTTTTTCCAGTCTTCCCGGTCTACCAAGGACCCGGCCCGCCGCGACCGGGGAGTCTGGGTCCTCCGGAGGACCCGGCCTGTCGTTTTGGACACAGCCAATGAGCTACACTGTTATACGGTTATAGCTTAGAGTCATCATAACAATTTTCAAGGTGTGATGGAAAAGGTCATAACTTTTTAATTTCTCATTACAAGATGATTTCATAAATTAAAGCTTTGACATGAAAGTCTATTGGTGATATACAGGCTCTTTATTCCTCCACCAAGGAGGTAATGTTTTCGGTCGCGTATGTCCGTCTGTCATTCTGTCTGTGGACAACATTACTCAAAAACCTGTGGACAGTTTGTCATGACATTTTTACCACATGTGTGTACTGGCCCAAGGAACACACCTTTAAATTTTGGTGATGTTCCAGATCACGATGCGGACACAGGAATTTTTTTATATCTTAATCCTCTGAGATCGGCAAAGCTGTGATGCTTTCACAGGGCTTCTGTAAAAAACAGTGAGCTGGATTGGACAGCACGGACTTCAAACTTTATAAAAGTAATGTTAAAACCAGATTTAATGATGAATAATTTTTTGCCATAATATGCGCATTTTTACACATTTGGTGCGCATTTAGAGAACATTTTCTGACCAGGAAGTGCGTGACTTCACCATGAAATTTATTTTTCCCATTTCCTCAAACACACCACATTTCCGAAACAACCAATCAAAACAGTTTCTCGCTACTAGGCTTGTAAACAGAGAGATACCGGGCCTCAAAGTTTGGAGACGGGGGGAGCCAGGAAGCACYTTATAAAGAGAGTCAAACCATTACAAACTCATACAAGGAGATAAAACAGATGTTTTACATGGTGAAATGTGACTGATGAAAACTTAGCAGATTAATCTGACACCAGTTTGACGATGAATAACGTCAAGTGACGAGTCTGACTTTTTTTTTCACATTAGACTCCACCGGGAAGAAATCCCGTGCATACTACCTGCTTAAATGTTCACTACGTCAGAACTTATTCGGCAAATGTGTTTCCATCTCTGCTTTTTGCACATTAACTCTTACAGGATGGAGGAAATTGGTCTTGGAGGAGGTTTGCACTCTCCGAGTGCTTCTAGTTTTAAAAGATGCACTGATTCTGCTTTCTAGTTTTTTCTGTCTGTTCTTGTTTAGTTTGATTTTAGATTTTCTCTAATTAAAGCTGTGTGTGTGTGTGTGTGTGTGTGTGTGTGTGTGTGTGTGTGTGTGTGTTAATTTTTAAAATATAAGTTTTGCTGCAATTAATTTTTTTATGCTTAATAGAATTATATTAATTAATATGATTGTGTATGGGTAGCGTTTGG